GGCTGTAATCCAGAAAATGATCTAAGATTTGGAAAAACAAAAATATCCTAACATATAAATAAAGTTCCTCCGAGACTGTGAGGAGGAGATGCCTGCAACCTGATCCTGTGTCTGTGTCTCCTCATTCGCCGACGCCGTCCTTTCCTACAAGAGACCCACCCCGGCTGGAGCTGGACTCCGGCAACCTGCCTGCATTTGAATCCTATCTGTTAAAATGTTACCTGTTGTATAGACATCCCATGTGTGATGGCTAATTTTGTGTGTCAGCTCGACTGGTACCACGGTGCCCAGCTACTTGGTGAAACATTCTTCTGGATGTTTTTGTGAAGACATTTTTTGGGTAAGGTTAACATTTAGATGGGTGGACTCTGAATAAGGCTGATTACCCTCCACGATGTGGTCGACCTCATCCAATCCGTGAAGGCCCTAACGGCGCAAATACAGCTCTTCCCTGAGCAAGAAGGAATTCTGTCAATAGACCGCCTTTAGATTTGAGTTGCTCCTCTTTCCTGAGTCTGAAGCCTGCCAGCCTACCCTGCAGATTTTGGGCTTACCATGCCATGATCACATGAGTCAAGTCCCTAAAATAAATCTCTCTCTCTCTCTCCATATATATGTATGCACGCATGCGCATGCACACACACACACACACACACACACACATCCTGTTGGTTCTTCCTCTGAAGAAACCTGACTAATGCATCATGACAATATCTCCTCCTCTGAACACCTGTACCTCTCATTTGTCAGCACAGACTCACAGGATGTTAGTGCTGGAAGGCACGGCCATGACCACATGGTCCCTCCTCCTCCCTCGAAAGGAGAGACCACAAAAGCCCAGCTCCCGGGCTGACCGGCACCTGAGCAGCTGCACAAGCAAGCTGTGGATATTTTTTCTCCCTCAGATGGAACCACAAAAATAGAACTAGACACTGATCATGCTGGTGGTCTAGTCTTACCTGGAGACAGGAGCCCGGATTTTGGAGACCTGCGGCTTCTTTCCAATTGCCCAGAAGTGCGCCCATATATGCAAGGATCTATACTGGTATACTTCATGCGTCCTCAAAGTGTCTTCGAAGCCTTCCCTAACCTTACCTTCTCCCTCCCCACCGCCCCCCATCTCCCCAAACGGAGAAGTAAACTCTTCTCCGATAGCATACTGTACAGAGCACAGTTTGCTCAGGGGCCTGGACACACCAGCTTATTATAATGAAATGCATGTTGGTGATTAGTGGGTTTACTAATCCTTTCTCTAACTGGATGCTTCAGTGATTCTGGAAGAAGGATGCCAATGCTTTCAAAAAGGCTGCCCTCATGCGAGTTCCTCCTTCACCCGCTCCTTCACCAAGCTACCCAACTGAAGGACAAATATGGTATACAGTTGAAAGGAAAGGAGTTCAGATAACAGCGGGAAGAAACCATACATGCTTCACAATTACTATTCAAGCATGCCAGCCAGCGGGGGGAGCGGCCTATACAGAGACATAGCATTTACTGGACTGGGCAGGCTGCCCTTCCCAGCTCTACTTTCTGTATAAGTAAAAGGCATTGCCTATCTGGCTCAGGTGAACACGACCTGTGCCCTGGGGGAGTCACTGGCCATCCCTAACCATCCCCTGCCTCTGGGCCTTGACAGCAAAGCCACTGACTAGCCTCACAGTCCTGATGGATCGGAACGGTCTGGATTGCTGAGGGTGTGGAATATGATGTATAAAGCTAGTCTTTGGAATCAGGGGGCGGTCTGAGAGGTCAGAGTGAAATTCTTCAGGACTGATTCTCTGCCACCCCCACGGGAACCAGCTATGGCTGACAGCTTAAGGCCCTCCCTCCCCCATGCCACGGCAGACAGACTACCAGCTCAAACCTTGGACCCCAGGCCTCTTGCTGTCATGTTCTGCCCTCCCGGTATTAGGAACACCAACCTCGGTGTGCCTGTCCCCCAAACGGCAAGAGCCTGTGTTTCCAGGAGCTGCTGGATTTCTACATTGGTTTGCTGCCAGAAAATGCAGCTCCGTCTACCTCTTCCCCTCCTAGAAAAGCCTGTCTGTCTGGGCCTGCCCCAGCCACCTCCAGCCAGACTGAGGCTAGAGAAGGCCTTCTGGAGACTGCTCTGCCTGCCCCCACTCTTCCATCCATCTTCTACCGAGCTGCTCTTTGGAAGGAGGGATGCCTCTGGGCTGAGGGCAGGGGAGGGTGCGGGGGCGCTCCTGCATCCAACTCAGGCCTGGGGCCCGTGCGGCATCTCCCTGTGAACTCAGCATGGCTCTCCAGGGTGCTCTGACAAGCATAACCTTTAGAAGCATCTGCAGCAAGCCATCTGGTGTTGATTTTTCAGCTACACCCTCTGAGGATTCACCAGTGCTGCCAAGTTGAAGTAATTCTTTCTGGACACAGCAGCTGCTAAAGTGGGTCACCTTGCCTTTCTATAGCATTTTGATGGCCAGGGGACAGCCTGACAAAAGGGAACGTACTTTAAGGTCAGTGACTGGGGTTGTTATGAGCTGCTCGTGGAATCTGGGGCACAGGAGGTGTCCAGGAGGACCTTTACGCAGTCACGTCTGTTTCACAAATCATCCTCTTGACTATTTTGCGGCTACGAAACCCAGCCTAAGGATCTATAGAAAGTGGAACGGAGGGCTCTGTGTAACTCTAAGGCTCTGGGGGCCGTATACATGCAGAGAATAATAGTTCGGATGCTCCAAAGAAGCCATGCCCATTCCTAACTAGCGCCCTCCAAGCGGAGGGAGACAAGGCACAGATGCAGAAATAAAAGGGTAGCCTGTTGGGCACCGCTTGCCAGGATTTAGGATCTCCCGAGCCCCTCTCCTAGGGGTCGCAATGACCCTGAACCCAGAGGCAGGCCTCAGCCCTCTGCGAATGCTGGAGTGACCTCAGTGGCGCCATGACGGTTCTCAGCCTTCAGTGAGCGGGCTCAGCGTTCCCATCCAAGAGCATACGGTCCAGTTCCACTGAGAATCCTCACTCCCTCTGGTGTCACATGGCGATGGAAACCAGCAGAGCCAGCGTACCCATCCTGGTGACCAAAGCAGAGGCTTTCTCAACAGCACAGAGGTCCCGCTTTGGGGCGGGCCCACTGTGGCATGGGCTCGCAGCTCCGAGTCAGGCCCACCCAGGAGCGCCAGCTCTGCTGTGTGAGACTGAGGCACAGAAGCTTCCCTAAAGGCATATAGCCAGTAAGTGGCAGAGCCCGAATTCAAACCCGGTGGTCTGGTTCTGGAGTCTTAACCAGTCTAACTGCTCTGCTGCCTCAGTAAACCTGCCCGCTTCTGGCTCTTGGCAATCCCTTGTCTCCACAGCCTTGTCCCTGTCACATCTCACCAGGACCACAGTTCAGCCCCGTCACTGCCCCAGGCCCCCAGATCCAACACTACCTGGCGGCCAGAGCAGCTTTACTGAGATGTGTGTGTGATCATGCTATGTACCCGCTTAAAATCCTTCAGTGCCTCCTAGCTATTCCTGGAGACATCCAAATTGTTCAGTAGGCCTGGAGGCCTCCCTGACGGGCCTCCACTGAGCTCTCTGGCCTTCGAGCCACTCCCTCCCTCCCACACGAGTGCAGTGTTTCTGCTCAGGGTTTCTGCCCTGGGATGCTCCCCCCGGCCTCCAGCATGTGCCCAGTGAAGATCTACACCTCCTTCAAGCTCCGACTTAGCAGCCACGGCCTCTAGAGCCTCTGCTGTCCTTTCCAGGTGGAGGTTCAGGTTTCCTGCCCTGCATGCCTGTCTCACCTCTCCTACACCACAGTCCACAGAATTGTATTGATCTGTGTGCCTGTCTTTCTCCCTGGAGACCGTGACATCTGTCCCTCCAGGGAGCTTGGATTATGTGTCGTTCATCTTTGACGACTCAATGTTTGACACTCGACACTCAGTCAAGGTGTGTTGAGCAACTAAATGAGTTAAATCAAGTGCCTGGCGTGGGAACCACACACATAGACAGAGGGAGGAGCGAGCAGCGGCAGTTTGGCTAGATCCTACCTCTTCTCCCTGCCACAGCCCTCCTAGGCCAGCCTGGCCAGGGCCCCACTCACCGGCTGCCCTGGGCGACGGCGGGCACGATCTCATGGCTGGCACGGAGGGGCCGGGTCCTGGCCTTCATGCGGGCACGCTGCAGCAGATGCTTGGCTTCCTCAGGCCTGGGGCTCAGCACAGACTCTGGCTTGGGACCAAAGGTCCTGCAGGGTGGCCCACAGGCCAGAGCAGGCGGGGGGAGGGATTAGAAGAAAATAACATGGATTAGAAGGGCTTTAACAGCATTGAGCTCGGCTGTGCCGGAAAAGGCCCTGCATGTGCAGCCTTCCTTGTCCAGCTCCCACACAGAGGGCTCCAGCCCGGGGCCGGGGACCTGGGGCCTGGAGTCTGAGCAATGGCCCTGAGCATCTCTGGACACGTCCAGGGAGCTGGCTCACCTTGGACATCCGCTCAGGGACTGGAGGCAGAGATCCCAGGAGGATCTAAGAAGGGCAGGGGAATCTCTAGATTATTCTATTGTTCCTTCCCTGGGCAGGCAATGGGAGTTATCCGGGAGGACGGGGGAAGGGCCTGGCGTTGTTGGACTGGGCCTGTGCCCAGCCAGATGGTCTTTACACACATCACCTCCCTCTCTCCTTCTGCCTCTCTTTGCACCCACACGAACCCATGCAAGCCCCCACCGCAGACACGAGGAGTCAGGCCTCAGCCCGTCACATTCTGCTCCTTGGGGGGAATGACATTTCTGTAAATCCTGGTGCTTGCTTGCCTCAGTCCCAATCCAAACCCATCAGGCACCGGCTCAGGGCTCAGAGAAATTAAGCTGGACCCACACCAAGTCAGCCAATGGCTCGATTTTCGTAAAAATGAGGGTCCTCTACCAGCCCTCCCCACCTACCAGATGTGCGGCCCCCCGGGCCGGTCCAGAGCCGCGGCCCTTTTTCAAAGCTGTCTGGCAGACGGTGACATACAGCCCGCGCCAGGGTACAGAATAACAGCAGCCTCCAACCCCCCACTGACAAGCCATTTCTCTCCACTGAGCTCCCTCTCCCCAGCCAGGCTGACCCAGGGCAGGTGTGCTCTCCGCCTGACGGATGAGGGCATTCCGCAGCAGACAGGAACATTTGGCGCACTGCTCAAGGTCGAACAGCAGTGGAGAGCAAAGCAGACGATCGCCAGCCCCACTGCCTCCGGTCTCCTTCCCATACCCTCTGTCTCCTCCTTCCTCCTGTCCCTGGATCCCAGGGCAGGCTGAGAGTGTTTGTGGCTGAAGTCACACTCTTTGACGTGACTTCAGCATCCCCCCCCCCCGGCTGCCCCTGTCCTCACTGTCATATACGCTGGGCTGTCCTCACCAGGGAGGATCCACCAAAAGAGAACCCAGGCAGGTAGAGGCTCAGCCAGGCTTAGATCTCAGGCGGTAGCCCCCCAAATCCCTTGTCTCGCCCGCCGCATGGGTGACCCCAAGAAAGGGTCCTGACTGGGGGAAGGTACCAAACAGTTTCCTGGATGACAGATGACAGATGTGAGTGGGAAATGGCATAATTCTGAGACCTCCTTGGGACAACCTTGGACAAGCTCAGGCAGTCTGTGGTTCTTTCTTTTTCTCTTTTCTTTCCTATTCTCTTCCCTTCTTGTTTGCTTTCGTCTTTCTTTCTTTGTTGCTCATGCTTTGCACCTAACCTTGCTTTAGAGCTCAAGGGGAAAAAAAAGAACTGCTAGAATAAAGGCACCATCTGTGCATATGAACCCTGGCAAGGCCCAGGCACAGTTTTGGAACCAGGAAGGTTTACTGCAGTGACGTGAAAGTGACTCTCCAGGCCTGTGGCCCTGTGAAGCCTCCTTTGGCAGGAGAGGCCTCACTTTGCACAGCTTCCCAAGCAGGCAGCTTCTCCGACCCTCTGCTGAGAGCAGCTGTGCCCCCTGGGGCTCCTGCTCCTACAGCACAGATAATGAGGTTACCAGCCCGAGAGACGCCCTGCAGCCGCCGGCCGCCGGCCCCCACGCTCGGAGCCTTCCGGTGACAGTGTGGTTCCCCGGCTGTCGGAGGGCATTTGTCACAAGACCTGGTGGGCAGGCAGGAGCGCCCCCAGGCAGCTGGCCAGATGCTGCCAGGACTGGCCTTGCCCCCCAGGTTTTTAAGCCATTTTCCAGCTTTGCTGTTTCCTTTCTGCTCCTTCTACTTGGAGCTATTAATTCTTTTTTTTGTTTGTTTTCATCAGCTGCCCTGCTTTGGTTCCTAGCAAACAAAGCTGCTTTCTCCACTGATTACAAAAGTAAGGCTTTTTAGGCTCCTGAAGGTGTCCGTGCAGTAGCAAGCTGAGCCGGGAGGGGCGTGGCAGCCACCTTCACAGATGGCAGTCAAGGTCAGCAGGGCAGGCAGTCCTGGCCCTGACCAGCCCCGTGCAGGGGAAAGGGCTCTTCCTCCCGGGAGGCGGGGGGCAAGCGGCTGCAGTGCTGGGGGATGTCGAGCCTCTCCCAGCCTGACTGCCCACCCCAGAACCATCGCTGAATCGTGCTGGTCTGTTGGCGGGGTGCCGGCCCTGCCAGCCTGGCAGGTTCAGACTCTTCCATCCGAGCGAGGCTTTCCTGTCTCGCCTGGCCCTGGCCTCTGCCCAGGGCACACAGCCCTAGAGCCAACTCCTTCCCATCACGGACTACACCCCACCATCTCAGCTCCCACATTTGTGGAAATTTCCTGGAAGGGCTGGGGCCGTTGGCGCATGGCGAGGCTGAGGCAATTCCATCTCAGAACAGACACCGTCGCTACTCTCTCGAAAACCTGCATGTCTGGGCCTCATTAGCTCAGCGGGTAGGGCACGGAGATAACATGGCTGAGCGCTCTTCCTCCCTGGGCCTGAGTCTCCCATCTGTGAACAGTGGGAGTTGGATAGGCGCGTAGACTCGCACCGCTACCCTGTGAATCCAGGTTTTGGCCAGGTAGTCTGGTGGACCACAGGGTTGGGTGGGGGATTTTGAGGTCCTCTCCCCGGGGAGCTCACATCACAGAGGTTTAGTCACCAAGGAGCAGCAGTACCTACAAGGAACTAATTGTTGGGGGCACCTGGGTGGCTCAGGTGGTGAAGTGTCTGCCTTCGGCTCAGGTCATGATCTCAGGGTCCTGGGATTGAGCACCACAATGGGCTCCCTGCTCAGCGGGGAGCCTGCTTCTCTCTCTCCCTCTGCCCTCCCCACTGCTCATTCTCTCTCTCTCTCAAATAAATAAATAAATAAATAAATTTTTTTTAAGGAACTAATTGCTGGGGACAACCGGAGCACCACAGGGGTATTCTAGCCCTTCTCTCTGCCCCTCCAACCACCAGTGTCCCAAGCTGATTTCAAGGACAAAGGTAGCATGTGCCCCCATCCGGCCTGTCCCTCTAAGCCAGTTTCCTGGTGGAGAGACAGGCTTAGCTCGACCTCAGCTCCCCTCATGGCTAGACAGGTCGAGATCTCGAGTCAGGAGAGCCACCACTCATTTCCTAGCCAAGGAGGGAGGTCAGCAGGACAGAGTGGCCTCTTTCTGCAGCCATCATAATCCTGGATTAAAATAATAAGCTCCAGCAAGTCTGGGTCTCACCCTTTCATCCCAGGAACACGAATCAGGGAAATAATTTAGAATATAAAGAGATCTGACATTTCCCAGATTCCAGGATGCAGTGGGTAGAGGGGAATGTATGGCATACAGAACATACATAAACCTTCTTGCCCCGCACTTGTTCCATCTTTCTAGATGAGCAAGGGTCGCGCTCTCCTGCTGTTACACTGTGTGCAGTTTCCCTGAGGGAGGGGAAGAGATAGGCAGGCCTGAAACTGAGTCCTGACTGCGTGTGGCCTGAGGGCGGGATGCTATCCTGGGGACATTATCACAGGACACGGACAGGCTGGGGCCAGAGTGCGGGTTCCAAGCGTGGTTCTGGGGCAGCCTAACCAGGTCCTAATTTGGGGCTGCCCCTTACAAGTGGGTCACCCTGATAGGTTACTTTGGGGTTAAGCCTCAGTTCCCTCATCTGCTAGCTAAGGGCTCACTCGATAAGTGAGATTGAGCTCCTTTTAAAGGAGCTGATCGCAGAGCTGGGTACTGGGTGAGATTCGATCAGTGTTAGCATTCACTGTTACGATTGCTGTTATTAAGGGTGCTATTTTTTTTAGGTAACTCTCCCCCTTATGAACAAAGGATGGAATCCCTAACCTCGAACTGAAATCCCTGCCGAAGAGATCACCTTGCCGTCATCTGCAAGGGGAAGGTACGTTTGGAAGGGAAACCGTTTTGAAGCTCCAGAAGGCTCGGGGGTTTTGCTCTAGACAGCTCTTGACAGGCTTCACAGAGAAGGCAATATCCGACGAATGGGGAGCCAGAGGAGACTGGTGGCTGACGAAAGCTGCTGCCCAGAGAATAAACAGGTAACTTCTCAACAGAGAAGGTAGAGTGGGCGTCCTCAAGAATGGTTGCCGCAGAGGGCGCCTGTCTCATTTAACACCTTGAAAAGGATCTGGTGCAGGCGAGCGGCGTCAAGACGCCAGCTTCCTGGGGACAGTAGAGCAGCTGGCTCTGTTCTTGCCTTCTTGAAGGCTAACAAACTCCTTGGCGGCGGCCCCTCTGGGCAGCACTGCCTGGCCTCAGTGTGCGCAGGCAGGTGCCCGAGACACCCCCAACTGGAGGGAGAGTGGCCGGCTCAACTCCAGAGGCCAGAAAGGGCTTCCTCTTCTTGAATGTCAGCCCGACCCCCCACAGGTGGTCGAGGGGAAAGTAGCTTTCTACAGCCTCTGTATTCGCAGAGGCTGGGGCCACCGGGGGATTTCCATGTGTGGCGTGTACGGGAGTGTGGAAATGGCGTGGCGTGAAAGCTCCAGGGGGCACGAGCTGTGCGTCAAGGCTTCCAGCGTTAGCGTCCTTCCTTCTCCACCCAGGACTTAGAAGCCTATAACCGGGAGCACGGTATGGGAACACGGGCGAGCGGTTTACTTGAAGATGGTGAAAGTCTCTCCACTTCTTACTGCCCTACTTAAAATCTCAATTCCAAAGCTCTCCACAAATGGAGAGCCAGCCTTCCCATCTTGTATCCTGTAGTATCCACACATGCCGCTTCAGCCTTCTCGAAAGCATTCCCGCGGGTCCCACCCACCCGGGGGTGTCCTCTCCTGCGTCCATCCCGCTTCTATCGAGCCCACCTACACTCCTGCCTGTGAGCTTCTGCCAAACGTTTCCTGAGGGCCTGTTCCCTGCAGCTACTTGGCAGGCACGGGGCCCCAGAGAGAAGACCGGCATAGTTTTTGTCCCCAAGGAGCGCGAGGAGGAGACCCAGCAACAACAACTTTGGCTAAAGCTGGTACAGACAAAGACGGCAGTGAGCGCACAAACGGGCAATTCCCTCTGAAATCAGACACAGTGGTTGGTTCACAGGATGCTCTCCAGAAATGCGAGTTAATATGTTAATTTTTAACAAGCCGGAGATTTTCTCGCAGCTGTGGGCCTGAACCCTTGAGCCACAGGCCAGGCCTCGGAAATTCTTGGGGGCTCCCTCCCTGCCTCCCTTTACAGTCTATGAACTGCTTTGGGGCAGGGAGTTTTGACCTGTAGCAATCCCAGCAGGGGCCGGAAAACTGCGACCCACCAGGGTGTGAGCGGCTGTGGGCTGGCACTCTGCCTTCTCTTCTCATGAAGAGGTGCGTGTACGGGACTGAGCTTCCCTCCAGCCTCAGCTTCCAAAATGGGCACGATTCTGCCACAGGGATGCGGGGCGGCCGGGGGGGGGGGCGGTCAACAACCTAGGGAATCCTCCGAGTTTCCTTCATCAGCAGAGCACAAATAAAACACAACCCCAGAGACCCTCTTCTCTCCATTTTGCGCACAGCGGAGCAATCATTAAAGCCCTGCAGACACACTTGATCCGGAGCACTGCTCCCACACGGACGTCCTGATTCGAGCCGGCCTCAAGGGGGCGCGCTGGCACCTGCAGCCGCCCGGAGCTGGGTGCTTTCAGCTCCTGACTCCCGTTCGGTGCAGGGCGTGGGGTGAGGACTGCCTTGACTGCTGCTGCACCTCTGGCTTCACATATGTTTTGCACAAGCTGGGTTAACTTGGGGTCCTAGGGCGACCTGTAATCCTGATCTGCTCTCGCAGAGCCTCAAGAGAGGGAAGAGGCCGAGCTGGTCCTGGCCATTTCATGGAGTTGGGGTGGGATGCCCACGGGCTGCTAAGGATGGAAGAGGGCAGAGCCAGCCCTGAGCAGAGCGCCCGCTGCACTCTCCTTCCCGCTCCTGTCTCTGATGGGACCAGTTCCCAGTCCGCCTGTGAACAGGTGGCCGACAGCACTGGCCCCATCTGCCCTCTCTGAAGTGCTTACCTCCCACCCCTCCTGTCCCCAAACCAGAGCCTACGCCCCAAATCATCTCAACGGTGGCTTGGGAGAGAAACAAGATTAGCCCTTGGAGACTGTCACCTCCCCTTCTTTGTCCATCCTCGAGAACACCTCGCCGGCACTGGGGGAGGCAGAAGACCCCAGATCCCTAACTCGAGGAGCAGCCTGGGGGACACAGAGAGGACAGCTGTGGAAGTGTGGTGTAAGGGTTAGAGCACAGACCCCGGTGCCTGCAAATCCTGGCTCCCACACTTACTAGCTGTATGACCCTGGGCAGGTCACTTAACCTCTCCCCAGAGGGGTCTCTTTGTCAGGGAAACAGAACAAGCCCTACAGTTAGTTATTAGGATAAAGTGAGAAGGTGGGCAGAGACTTCGCACAGGCCCTGGCACACAACAGGGGCTGGAAAAGGGCAGGGCTGGCATGGTCTTCCGGAGGGAAGGACTGGCCACCGGCATGTTCCAGCTCTCTAGGACTCAACCTTCCCTTGCCCCCCAGTAGAGGGGACCACCCCGGGGTCAGGGGACGGAGGTCTCCTCTGCATTCGGCCCTTAGCATCTAGGGTCCCAGGGCACCTCTGGTGTTCCTGTAGCATCTCAGGTGTCCCACCTGCAAGGCCGACTCTCCCGCTGATTACCCCCCCAACAGGCTGGCCTGCGCCTCCCCCCCCACCCCCCGTCACACAGTGACGACTGTCTCGGGCTCTGCAGTGACCATCATTTCATGAGCTTCTTGTCCGATCACCATGCAAAGCTGTAACAACTGCAGACAAGGATTAATGTGGTCAAACGGATATTTGATGGCAATCCTGAAAGGCACTGATGCTGGACCTGAGTGTGAGGCAGGACCTTCTCTTCGTCACACTCTCAGAGAAGATCAGAGGACTCACTGCCAGAGCATGTCCTGACCCCATGAAGGACGGCCACCAAGATGCACGGCCACCGCGTCAGAACACGCCACTGCCCAGGGCCCTAGGCCCCTCCGTACAGACACTAAATCCCCAGGATGCTGGTCCCATTGGCACTCCTGGATTACAGAACTGAGAGAAGCAGGCCTTATTTCAGAGGTCTCTTGGGAAGTTCAGCTAGAAGGAAATGGCATCAATAAATCCATCCCCCTCAGGGGACAGATGGAGCCTGCAGTGTCTTAGGGACTACTTTAATTTCTGCCCAGGAGACTCAAGAATAGAACCAAATGAGGCGCTCTGCCTAAGGTGGCCTCAAGACATGGCCGATGTTTCTCTCAGCCTTGAACTAGGGTATGTTCCCTGGCCCTTCAGCCTGGGTGTCTGTTCGGGAGGGGCCTGACTGTAGATTGCAGGTCAATGGGGCACTCCGGAGGACAAAGTTTTCCCCATGCCAACTCTATGCCCAGATATCTGCTGGCCACAGTCCTAAAGCTCACTAAGACAACTTCTTCCTCAACACACACACACACACACACACACACACACACAGACACACGCTTGCCCATCACACATATATGCACACACCTACACATCCTACACCTGCACACATATACCCCACTTGAACCCTAAAATGCTGCAGGTGCCCTGGCAGTTTAAACAATAGTCCAGAAATCCCCATCCCGAGGATTTTACACGAACACCATCTCCTCACAGGGCTTGGGGGTGGGGGGAGTCCCTTCCTCCACCACAGTTGAGGTTCTCCTCCTCTAAACTGGATATTTTTATTACTTATTATCCAATAAGCCAGTCAGGAGCTTTGGTTTCTCCTTTGAACAGTGAGCTCTGGACAAAGCCCCGAGGGGCAACATGCTGGGGCGGAGCCTCTCTCTGGCCCGGGACAGGGGTGGGGTGGGGTGTGAGAGGTGGGGGGCAGGAGCAGCTGCAGGAAGAGGAGGCACCATGTCACAGGACACGCGGTACGTCTGCCCCAGCTGCCTCCTCCATGGGCTCCCCAGACAAGGAGGAGGGGACGGGGAGGACGAAAGCGTGTCACTGAGGACCAGTCCTTTCTGCAGTCACACTCCTCCATATGGTGGCCGGGCTATGTAGGGACCTGGCAGAGGGGAGCCCACTATGATTCCAAGTCATAAATAATGAGGGACGAAGGAGCCAGAAAGCCCCCACTCCACCAGGCCCTTGGCCAAGGCCACGGCAGAGACCAGTAGCCAAGCAGAAGCTGGATCGCCTGAATCGGGGCAGCCCTCGATTTGTGAAAGCAGGACCAGGGGGGCCTCATCCACGTTTTCTGGAAGGCAGGTCAACTGAAGTGGAATTTCTGCAGGGAATGGCCTGGGAATGAAGAAGCAACAACTCTGACCTCTGCCCCCCACAGGCGCCAGGAGACCCTCACCAAGTGACGTCACTGCACAGCTGGATACACAGAGCCCGGTGCGCCCGGGGCCAGGAGCTCGTTGAAGATGGAGGCCAACCTCTGAGCAGGCACTTGGGTGGCCCTCAGCCCCACGGAGCGCACATCCTGCCAGGACCCTGCCCACTCCAGAGAGTGGCCCCACGGCCCCGAGCACGCCGTTGCGCCAACCACCCAGAGACACTGGTCTGTGACCGTGCGATGTCGGAGGTGAACTCCTTTGCAGGAGCCAGCAGACCCCCTGGGTGGGGAAGGCACTGTGGGGGAAGCGCTTTGCAATCTGTGGACTTTCCCTAAGGATTTTCACACATTCTCTCCTGTTAGCCTCACCACAGTCCTGGGAAGGAAACCAGACAGACACTATTTGGGCCACCTTAGAGATCAAGAGACTGAGCCCAGGGCCGGGGAAAGGATGCCCAGGGATGCAGAGCAGGTGGTTGGCAGTGCTTTTGGCCCTGTGTCCTGTGCCCAGTGGTTTTCTCCCAGTGGCCAGGCACCTGTGAGCACTGGGGGGGCTGACACCTTCCATGGGGCCTCAGACATGAGGACCCACAGTGGCCCGCTGTCCACTGGTCTGCTGGTGCGGTGGCGGGGCGGAGGGTGGGGGGTGGATGCACAGGGTGAGGAGGGGGTCCTGCCTGCCTCTTGCTTTCTCGAGGACTCCCACTCTCCTGGTGCCGGGCAAACGAGGGGTGGGGTGGGGTGTGAGAGGTGGGGGGCAGGAGCAGCTGCAGGAAGAGGAGGGCAGGAGAGGACGTGCGCACCGTGGGCTCTCACCTGTTCTGGTCCGAGTCCTGCAGGGAGATGCCTGAGTCCCAGTCCACGTCCCCTGCTGGTCGCTCTAGGACACAGAACAGAAGCGGAGCTCAGGGCAGAGTCAGAAACCGGGCTCTCAGCTGCGACTTAACGAACACCGGGAAGAAAGGAAGAAAGTTGTCTCCAGGAGCGGCTTGTTCCCGAGACACACTCAACCCCGCTCTGTGTCTCAGCCCAAGAAGTGGAGGCACAGCATGTCATGGTTACAGCTGGGGGGCGCGACCGCGGGCCAAGGGGACAGCATGGGTCCTCTCTGGTGTGGGGTGAGGAGTGGACTTTCGGAGCGGGGGGAAGCACGGAAAGAAGGCTCCCTCAGGCCCGAACACTTACACATCCCAGCGGAGCTGCCGCCTGACAGGACCCTGCCCCCTGCGGGTGGGGCTTCCGCCAGGAGGCGCTGAGCTCCCCCGGGGGGCTGGGGGCAGGTCACCGGAGGAAGGTGCCGAGAGCCACTCCAGAGAGGGCTGTAAGCCACAGGGGAGAAACCACCCCAAGCTCTGACGGTAGCCTCCAGTTGGTCTGGGGGGCCATGGGGGTCTTCAGCAAACAGGCTAGCTGTGAGGTGGTAAAGAATCTATGTCAAAGCCCAGAATAAGAGGACATCTTGAGGAATTAGATGGCCGGCAGCTGTGCGCTTCTCCCTTTCCTGCCACACCCCGCCACAGGTACCCTCTTGCCCCTCATCTCCTCCTGGACTCCCTCCTTTGGCCCCCACCACCCAGACCTACAGAGTGAGCCTCACCTGGTAGTCCTCTGTGCCAGGGTGGAGTCCAGGCTGGGATTCCTACCCTGGGGGGTTCTTGGCCCCCAACATTTAGCATCTCCTGCAGCAGAAGGCGGTTCCTCTCCACCCGATCAGACAAGGATAAGGCACTGTCCCCAGTGCCCAGAGCCCCCAGCTCTGCAGCTCGCCAGAGCCCCCCTAGCAAGGCTGGCCTGGGAACAAAGTCCTCCTCGCAGGTCAGAGACAAGCTGTCCAGGTCTCCCCCTGTAACTAGGTCATCCTGAAGGGCGTATGACCTTCCTTTCCTCAGGTTGGGCATGTGGGCGATTTTGTTACAAGGACCAGGGCCCCCAGGCCGGCCTGGAGTGACTCTGTGAACAGTGTTCTCTTGCAAAGAGCCAGGCCCTGGCAGCAGACTCCTCTCATTGTCGGGCAAGGCCTGTATTGCTTCTGGAGGCCGCGGGCTCCTCCCGTTCCAGCACTCCAGCCCAGGAGAAGGCGGCCTGGGAGGTCTGGGACCCCCGTTCCGGGCAGGTTCCTCCTTGCTGATATCGCTGTCCAGCTGCCCATCAGGCAAATTCTGAGCAGGGATCACCCCCTCGGCATCCGGCAAGGAAGACCCCTCCGACAGAGGCCCAGCTCCGCCCACCTTGACTCGCCTGCATTTGGGTTTCTTGGATGGCCGCTCGTGAGAAGTGAGGCCAGGGCTCACCACCTGTTTGCCTGCCGTCATTTTTTCCTTCAAGGCCCTCACTTTGGATTCCAGCACAGAGGGACCTGGGAGTTGTAGCCCCCATGCCCTGGGGTCTTGGGGGACCATCAGGCTGGGTGTTCTGTCTTCCAGAGAGCAGGAACAGGGTCTTGGGAGGTGTCCACTATCCAGCTGTGGCTCAGAGCCACTTCTCTCCACAGCCAAGGTCATCTCCATGGTGCTGGTTGTTCTGCTCCCTATTTGGGTCCCTCTGGAGGAGAAAACAGACAGAGCTCCTGAGACCCAGCATGTGGCTAGTAGCTCCAACAACCTCCTGGGTCCCCAAAGTGCCTTGGTATTGAAGCCTGTGCAGATGAGAACAACCTGGGGACAGAACTTTGAAAAGTATAAATCACTGGATGGCACAAATAAGTTATTGAGTTTTTTCTTCCAAGTCTGAGCAGTGTTCTAGTTTTTCTAGCCCCATTTTACAGATGGGGCACAATGAAGCTTCAAACAACAGCCTAATGTGGACCAGAGTGACAACAGGGGCCAGATTTCCCAGGCCCTGGCCTCTGTCTTTGCTGACAGGAGGACTCAGGGGAGGATGTCAACATCTGTTAAGAGCTAACAAGCTCCTCCTTTTTTAAGGGGAGCCAAAGGGGATGAGGGACTTCGGGAAGATACCACACAGGGTATCTTCAACACAACCAGGGTTGAAGGTGCCTTCCTGTGTACAGGCCACAGGTCAGCAGCATGGGGCCGGGCGCAAAGGGTGGCCATGACGAGTCACCGGCTCCTATCCACGTCTGCTCGGTGGCAGGCGGGCCTGCAAGAGCTTTCAAACACACTCTCTCTAGTGATCCTCACACACTCTGCCAGGAGGGGATTATCTTCCTCATTTTCACAGGTGGAGAAACTGAGGCACACAGAGATCTGGTCACACAGGGGCTGAAAGAAGGCTGGATTTGGAATGCAAATCTCCTTCCAAGGCCGGTGGCTCTTTCAAAGCACTCAGTGATCAGGTGATCACTTACCCCCCGACTCCCCTTATTCTGTAGGTGAGAATATCCAGTCTGGAGAGGTTAAGTGACTTGCCAGAATCACACAGCTCCTTGGTGGCGGAGCTGATGTCAATGTCTCCACAGAGAATGAAAGTGAGCATGGGATTTTATTCACCGAGTGGTTCAGTGCACTAGTATTTACCCCACTCTCTGAGAAAAAGCTCCCTGAACACCATACATTTAGATATGTCTCACTAGAAGTAAACTGCATGTATAAAAATGCATATTTACGTAAATTACAAATTAGGAGTTAATTTTTCACTTCATCTATGAACTAAAGTTCACCACAGGATTCTCTGAAATGGCAAGTCCCTCTATTGTCGTTTATTGCAATTCGATTTATACATGTTTCAGGAATGTACATAGTTCATAAAGCAAAATACATACATAGTGCAAATGTCACATCAGCCTTAAGCCTGTGAAGTATGAGGAGTATCTTCAGGAGGGCGAGATCATTTCCTCCACCAGCTGATCTGGAATTTACCAACTTTCTCTTTGCAGCCCAGCCACCGAATCCTCTCTTCTAAAGTTCAGCTCAGAAAGCAGGGGATTCGGGGCAAGGCCAGCCAGACGAAAAGAACTTTCTGACGGGTAGGCTCTGGAACCGCATTCCCGGGGCACCCGGGCCTGGAGCCCTTCGAGCACGCGAGCCTTGCACGGGGCTCCCCGGGGCACGGGCAGCCTTCCGGGGAGCCGCCCGCCTGTCGGGCCGGGCCGAGCCCGGGGTCGGCTCTGACTCCCGCAGGCCGAAGCGGGAA